TCCCTGCTCGGCGGGGAGTCTGCTTCTCCCTCTGACTCTCCCCCTCTCATGCTCTCCCTCTATCACTATCTCTCTCAATAAATAAATAAAAATCTTTAAAAAAAAAATAGAAAAATAAATGGTTCTCCACCCCTTCACTTTCAGTCTGGAGGTGTCTTTGGGTCTAAAATGAGCCTCTTGTGGACAGCATATCAAAGGATCTTGCTTTTTTATCCAATCTGATACCGTGTCTTTTGATTAGAGCATTTAGCCCATTTACATTCAGAGTAACTACTGAAAGATATGAATTCAGTGCCATTGTATTACCTGTAAAATCACTGTTTCTGTTTATTGTCTCTGTTCCTTTACTGGTCTATGTTACTTGTGAGCTCTCTTTGCTTACAAGATCCTCTTTAATATTTCTTGCAGGGCTGGTTTAATGTTCACAAGTTCTCTTAGTTTCTGTTTGCCCTAGAAGTTCTTTATCTCTCCTTCCATTCTGAATGATAGCCTTGCTGGATAAAGTATTCTTGGTCCCATGTTTTTCTCATTTAGCACCCTGAACATATCATGCCAGCCCTTTCTGGCCTGCCTGGTCTCGGTGGATAGGTCTGCTGCCAGTCTAATGTTTCTACCCATATAAGGTTAAGGACCTCTTGTCTCAAGCTGCTTTCAGGATTTTCTCTTTATCTCTGAAATTTGCAAGCTTCACTATTATATGTCGGGGTGTTGATCGATATTTAATGATTTTGAGAGGGGTTCTCTGTGCCTCCTGGACTTGATGCCTATTTCCTTCCCCAGATTAGGGATATTCTCAGCTATAATTTGCTCAAATATACCTTCTACCCCTATCTTTCTTCTCCCTCTGGAACCCCAATAATTCTAATCTTGTTTTGCTTTATACTATCACTGATCTCTCGAATCCTCCCCTCATGGTCCAATAATTGTTTCTCTCTCTTTTGCTCAGTTTCTTTATTCTCCATAATTTTATCTTCTGTATCACTTATTCTCTCTTCTGCCTCATTTATCCTAGCAGTAAGAGCCTCTATTATTGATTGTATCTCAGCAATAACCTTTTTTATTTCAACCTGATTAAGTCTTAGTTCTTTTATTTCTCCAGAAAGGGAATCTCTTGTGTCTTCTATGCTTTTTTCAAGCCCAGCTAGTATTGTTATACTAATTATTCTTAATTCTAGCTCTGAAATTTTACCAATATCCATATTTATTAAGTCTATCATTGTGATTACTGGCTTTTGTTCTTTTTTTCTGGGAATTTGTCCTTCTGGTCATTTTGTCCAGAGAAGAATAGATGAACAAGAGAACAAAAAAAGAAAAAAAAAATGAACCATGACCCCAGCAAAATATACACTAGGCAAATCAGAAGAAATCAGAAACCAAAAAAGAAAAAAAAGGGGGGGGGATAGAATATAACCAAACAGGTAGACAGAACAGGGTGATACATTTCGTCCTGGATGTATTTTTGTCTGTTTGTTAGAAGACACTTGATCCCAAAATTGTAAAGAAAGAAAAACTTATATACAAAAATAAAATTGAATACAGTGAAAGGAAGCCAAAAATGAAGAATATAGCTATAAAATGTAAAAATGAAAATTAAAAAAAGACTTAGAGTTGATAACAGAAGCTAGTTGAAAAGGGAAAAAAAAGAAAATTTAAAATTGAAAGACTAAAGAATCATGAGAAAAAACCCTCAAATTCTATATACTATTTTCCCCTAGTGCAGGAGTTTTTCAGTTCTGTGTGATCCATAAACTTGGTATTCACCTGATGTTCCTCCTGATCTTCTACGGGAGGAGCCTGCTGTGCTGATTCTCAGGTGTCTTTGCCTGGGCAGACTTGCACCACCCCTTGCCAGCTCAGTCTAAGCTGCTTCGGGTTACTCTAAGGGGATTTTGTTCCCTGAAGGCTTTTCATGCCACTTTAGAGGATGAAAAAAATAAAATAAAAATGGCGGCACCCTGATCTCCAGCCCCAGAGCTGAATGATTGCGACCCCCACCTCTTCAGTGCACCCTCAGGGAAAAGCAGGCAATCACTTTCCTGTGAGCCAAATTCCACAGACTCATGCAGTGCACATCTTCCTGGGGCGGGGCGGGGTGGGGGCTGGGAGTCTCACCACGGCCCTGCTGCTTTCTGGGGAGCTATTGCTCGATCCTGTGTGCACCACACAGCTCCTCCCATGGGAAGGAGCAGGGTTTCACAGCAGTTTTGCTGCTTGCTGGGCCCCTGCTTCAAGAGCAGTCATCTGATCATGCTGCAGTTTGAGCTTTATGTCAACACCTAGCTGAGAGCCTATTCTGAGGCTTGCTAATTGTAGCTGGCTTCCCTGCTCCAATGCTTGGGAACTCTGCTGCATGGAGGCACCCCCATTCTCCCCCGTTCGGGGATCCGGAGACCATACTGTCCCACCTAGCTTTCTGCCCCATTTCATCACCTGAACACCTTTCAGGCAGAGATGTCACTCACCCGAGAAGACTTCTAAAAGTTCCACTTTTATGCTCTGCTGCTATATCACTTTCCAGTTGCCGGTTTATGGAGGCTCCCTCCCCCGAAGTTCATCTTCCAATATAATGCCTCAGATTCACTTCTCTGCACCTCCACACTTCTCCTTGCAGAAAGTGGCCAATTTTCTATTTGTAGAATTGCAGCCATTCTTTTCTTAGATTGCAGGTTGAGTTTGCAGGTGTTCAGAATGATTTGATAGATATCTAGCTGAATTCAAGGGACCAGATGAAACAAGGGCCCCTATTCTTTCACCATTTTCCATCCACTTCCTCCCCAGTAGATTTAGATACAGGTGGCTTATAAACCATACTTTGAGAGAACACAGCCCTAAACATTCAAGCATTTGTTAAGTCCCCAATTAATTAATGTGACTACATACATAGAAGAATGTATAGTAGACTGTTAACTCAGAATCGCCAAGTAGGATCCAAATGTAAAAATAAAGAAAGCCCTCCACAAAAAAAAAAAAAAATTCTGGCTAGATTCTTGCATCATTTCTACCCTCTTCCTGCCCCGGAATGGGTGAATTTTTTTTCCCAACTCCAAATTGCAGAGGGCTCTGAGATAATCTCTCATACAGACTGAGGGTACCTGTAGGAAGGGCAGACCAGCATTTCATTTTCAAATGTACATCTCTTCTGTGGCAGACTTATTCATCAACCCTCTGTGCCCATTTTAGAAGTGAGAAATGAAACCCAAAATGACCACAGAGGGTTATAAAAGCCAATGGCATAGAAGGAGGACAGCCCTGAAGCAGCGTCTTATGGGAGGATGAAGAATCAAGTAAATGGGTTTGCTCATCTGACACCAAGAGACTGGTAGTGAGTCACCAGGGATGGAGCTGAAGGGGTTTGGAGGGTGGCAAGCCAAAGCTGATCTCTCAAATCAAAGGATTATTTAGTAAGGACTTCCCCCAGAGAATCTTCTCTTGTACACCATGAGAGAGCCAGCTTTTGGATGCTTACCCCAAAGAGGGTATTGATATCTAGTTAATCATGTCTCAGCTGCAGTAGTAATAAGCACATGGGACTAGGGCAATGGCCAGACACTCCTCCTTCTTCCATCCCTCACAACACAAAGAAACAGCCAGAACCAAAAGAGAGGGAAGAGAAGGGAAAGGACGGACCAGGCCCTCTCTTCCTCTCTCAGTTCCCTTGCAGAGTTCAAACTTGAGCTGGGGGATTGGAAGAAATGAGATTCAAATTTTAAATTGGACTACACTAAACTCTATAACAATAGAAAGGGTCTGGAAAAAATACAGAATCTACCTGAGATGTTCAAGTGAGAAGAAGACAGACTTGCATGAACTCTGTTAAAGCCAATGATATGGGAAAAATAAACCCATTTCATGTTTGTAATCCTATCAAGTTCAGATGGCTCAAGAATATGGTCATCGACTTATACACAGTATGCACATAGCTACTTCATGATTCCCAAGAGCCAGCTTTGCTCTTTCACCAAACAGCCCTATCATCTACACAGTCTTGTGGTACACGTGATTCGAATTTGTACCTATGCAAATGAATATATTATTGCATGTCATGAATCGTTGGAGTTCCTTGGGAGTAGTGTGAATGGTAAATCATTAAATGTCAAGAGTCCCCCATAGGTAAAATTGATTTATAAACTGCAAATGATACATAAACTCAAGTTATTCACCCGATTATGCTATTGTCAAGGGTAAGGTTTATACCTTCTTCACCTTTATATCCCACTTTTCCAACACTTATCCTAGTACTTGGCCCATTCTAGATTTTTATTAAATGTTGCAGAATGAATGAGAACAATTCCAGAGTAAGTTGTTGTTGTTGTTTAATCTTAGAATCCTCCTTAGGGGCGCCTGGGTGGCTCAGTTGGTTAAGCGACTGCCTTCGGCTCAGGTCATGATCCTGGAGTCCCTGGATCGAGTCCCGCATCGGGCTCTCTGCTCGGCAGGGAGCCTGCTTCTCCCTCTGACCCTCCCC